TGATAATTAACTCGCAAATCAACATGGCTAGGCCAATAACAATAGCAGTAATTGCTATACAAATTAGTTGTGCGGTACCTTTAATTAGGGAGGTGGGCTTTGACACCAGAATGGAGAGAACGACCAAAAAAAGAACATTTTTAAAGAATTACGCGTTCGTTTCACCTGCTCGTGAATTCCCGGCAAAAAGCAGCACATTTTTTGTTACTTCATCACACACAATGATTTTCAACCAAAACGACAACAACAAACCAGTAAGGATTTTTTCTGTRCATTCGCATCTTTTCTGATAACGTTTCCTTCTCATCTCTTGTTGRTCTAAAGTCAATGTTGCGTTACACCTGACAGACAAAAGGCTATTCCCACAGGAGAATGATGTCATACAGGATACTTGGCGTCTAGGCGAGCATTTTGATCAGCACACATACAAACACAGCGTGAGTTGAAGCTATATTTTTTATGCTCCTGGTGTGTCTCTCGGACGAATTTTCCTATACTGTCCTGAGATAAATGAACAAAACAGGAAGAACTTGAATGTCCTCCGCTCTGAGCTTCGGGCAGATAGAATATATACAGATTTATATTGCAAGATATTAGRTCTAGAAGTATGGCTCACAAATATGCTTTGAATCGCCAGGCAAGGTAAGTCGTAAGAATACTTCTAGTTGTTACTAGAAATTGTTATATATTTTGACTTTGTGAGCAACAACAATCTTTGTATTGCCCTACTCTAACGCTTGCAATAAACGTATCCCAAGCAAAYTATTCATTACAATAACGTCATTTTAGTTTTAAGGCGCAATTACGCGGAGAAATTTTACCATGCAGTTTATGGAATTTATCCTCATGGTCTTTCTTTATGTGTATAAGCTAGTTCTAAATTTCCTTAGTGRCAGAGTTAAGTAATCTTTCCCAAAGCCCAAGATAAGAAGTCTCTGCTCAAAAAAAATATATAAACGGTATATTTATARACGGTTGTTTTGTTTTTCACCTGTTTTTTGTCATTATTTTTTTYATTCGTGCATCTTTTCCAAATGTTTATATATTATTTATAATCATTTGATAGTTCTTAAAAGAAATTTGATTTATTGCCGGATATATCTAAACTTGCCCTCTTCAAAATAATATTAAACTATTATTTTGAAGAGGGCAAGTTTAGATTATCCGGCAAAACAACTAACCAATACCGGCAGCCTTGTAAAAGCTAGATTTWCAATGTTTTCTCTGATTCAATAGATGCAGAGGGCATATATTCGGATAGCATCMCATTGATCAAGACACTAGTTAATAAGCATCACTTGTCGGCTTGAAAAAGACTAGCAAATTGGCCTATTGTATTCAGCTTGTTGGCAAGGCATTTTCAATGCATTCTTAGTTTTCTTTACTTCTCTTCATGCGGTAACAAACAATATGCGAAATTCAACAGGACAACATGCTCAAGTAGACAAAGAAGAGTTGTACCATAGCCTGTTTACAGCCGCTTTCAACGCGGCTTTCTACGGGGGAAGTGTGGGAAGYGGCGGTACACGGGGTAGCTGTAACAAAAGCTCTAGTGAACCAGAGAGGTTCACCCCCCTAAGTWAACTGTCCTTTTTCACGCTATTGAACGCATCATTGGTAATCAGGACAAGCCTAAGGCTCAGGTTAAACGTAGAACTTCACA